GGAAGCCAACCTGTATGGGTTCTCTAAATAGGATAGCAGAAACAGAACTACGCCAAAATCGAGTTCCGGATAGGCTCCCGTTTCACTTCGGCAGGATCCCCGCATGATGAGGCCTTTCTCCGTGGGCTTTGCTGCCGGTTGGCTTGCTTCCTTCCTTGTTCCCCAAATGACTGAAAGCTATCGGGGTTCTAACTTCCATCAAAGAGGAGAAAGTGATTTGCGAGATTGACGGACTGATGCTAGGGCGTGCAGTTTGGGGTGCTGGTGATGATGCTGTTTGGGGTGCTGTTGGAGGTGCGAGTGACGGTGCGGGCGCATTTTTGCGAGATTGGCGGCTGAGTGCTCTGGGGGGTGCTGTTCGGGGTGATGGTGAGTGCGCACTTTTGCGAGATTGACGGCAGCATGCTAGGGCGTGCAGTGTGGGGTGACGGTGCGGGCGATTTTTTGCGAGATTGACAGCTTTGTACTAGGGGGGCATGCAGGTGAAAGTGTGGGCGCATTTTCGCGAGATTGACCGCAAGGTGCTAGGGGGCATGCAGTTTGGGGTGCTGTGCAAGTGCTGCTTTGGGGTCGTGTCTCGCGTGCTGTTGGACGCATTTTTGTCAAGATTGATGACAAAGTGCCAGGGGGCATGCAGTTTGGGGTGCTGGTGCACGTGCTGTTTTCGGATGCTGCTTGGGATGCTGTTGGAGGTGCTGGTGATGGTGCGGGCGCATTATTTTGCGAGATTGACAGCCGTGCTGTTTCGGTTTCAGGTGCTAAGTGCCATCATTGGCATGTTTTGCGCTATCTGGTCTCTCTATGCTGGTGTATTTTTTTGGTCTTGCTCCCTGCTTGTTTGCATGCTTGTGTTTGTGTGCCTGCCTGTCTGCCTGCCTGGCTGTGTGTGTGTGTGTCACTGTGTCTGTTACTGGGTCTCTGTCTTTGTCTTTGTCTGTATGTCTGTCCGACTGCCTGCCTGCCTGCCTGCCTGTCTGTCTGTCTGTCTGTCTGTCCGCCTGTCCGCCTGTCCGCCTGTCCGCCTGTCTGTCTGTCAGGCTGGCTTTTGGCCCATCTGCGAAAATTAAACCTAAGTGGAACTAAATAAGCACTCCCCAGTTCTGGGCCTTCACAGGCTTGCCCAGAACTTGTAGCCTCACGAGCGAGTTCGGTCAATCAAATCCGTGCCTCAGTCCGCCATCGCTGCCCATGCCGTCAGACACTCGAGAGGAGCTCTGGCCCTCGATATGCTCCCTATCAAACTTGGGGGGTCGCGTACCCTTCGAGGATGGCTTTTTCGAGGCTCAAAGAGATTAAAGTACCTCCCCAGAAGGCACTTGGACCGTGGGAGTAGAATCCCAAACTGAAATGGACAACGGAGATTTGTTTGGGGCTGGCGTCTCTGGTTGAGATCACTCTGCGAGTGTTCCTTTTTGTTGAAGGAGCAGCTGGAAAGTGTTCACCTCAGCGGGCATTCGCATCGCTGCCGCATCGCGCGGAACTGTAAGCCGGCCCAGTCAGTCCGAAGCAGCGCTGCAAGCAATCCAGGTCTGTGTGGACGCTGATGAGAGTGACCAGACGTGCCAAAGAATCAGAGTTACATTCTAGGGAGCAGTAAGACTCAAATTGTATCTTGTTTTTTCTTTGCAATCTTTATTGGTTTCTGCGCAAAGTTCAGCTTTTAGACTACAATATAGGTTTCAAAATGTTTCTAGACTTTGAAGTTCAGCTTGGGTCCTGTTTCATGTAAAAACACAACAAAACTGGATGTAGGCATGACCTTGGCTCAAGGAAGGTGTATAGCAAGTGCCAAACAGTAAGCATACCCAACCAATAGGTACAATCAGCACACATATGCAGATGTTCGAAGGAATTGGTCGGCGACGGCCATGTGCTGACTGATGTAACTCAATCAGGCCTCACTTGCTGAAACGGCGATCAGCTACCCTCCAGGCAATTCCATGAAGCTTCCCAGGCGGCGGGGGCCGGGAGCCAAGAAAAGTCATAGCAAAAGGAACAAACCACCGTGGTGCGATTCCTTTCTCCCCGCAGCCCTGCAAATTCGCTCTGATTGGTGCCCCACGTGAGGTACATTTAAAATTGGACTGCATAGACTATTGGACATTTTGACCGATACGCATGTCCAAAGACCAAGCGTTTTCCGGAGCCTCGACCTCACCCTCACCCGCCCGCCGCTTTCTGACAAACAGGGGGCCACCCTGGCCGTTATGCAAAACAAATGGCTTATATCTAGTCTCCCTTCATTTGGGTAAAGGGCAAATTAGATGTGTTGATCCAGACAGGGGTAACACTAGTATTGCATAAAAGCATGTGTGAGTGTGTATATATATATATATGTGTATGTACACATGCCCATTGTCTTAGATATCATGAAACAGTGAAATGTTCGATGTTCCTTCCCAAACCCTGTTCTGCTAGTAAAACCACTGTGAATTTGTTGATCCCCGCTTTTACATAAACAGAACCAGACAAGATCAAACAACCAGTGTACCGTTGCAAGAAGGTAGGTTTGATGCTGCCAGTGCAAAAAACACTCGTCACTTGCCGAACGGTTCAAAGAAGACTTTGGTCGCACCAAAGAACCAACCAAGGTGTTGCGACCCGTTCTTTTAGGAATAGTGTCCATGGCACTTCACTTCACTACCCTGCCATAAACCAATCTGGCCCCGCCCCTAAGCCCCCCCCGGACCCCAGGCCCCCCCAGCTGCCCGCTTTTTGGCCTGCGCTTGCTCGCCCCTCAGAGCTCCTTCTGTTCTCGGCACATTCTGAGCTTTCTGCAGGCCTCGGTGGGGAACAATTTGCCAAAACGTGAAAGCACCTTTCAAATCCAACCAAACCGCAGACGATGGGAAAGGTGCGCTATTCTTGCGTTCCCAAAACTTGAAACATGTTTCTGGTCCGGAAAGGTCCAACGGAATTCTGGACAACCGCCTATCAAGCACGCACGCACGCACGCACGCACGCACGCACGCACGCAGGCACGCACGCACGCACGCACGCACCCACACACACACACACAAACACGCGTTGTGCCTGAAGCCTCTTCATCAACAGGATTATTGTTGTTCAGCTGGGTTTCTATAATTCGCCGGCACAAAATAAAGAACCCTTCGGCAAGGAACCTTCATCATAGGTGAGGAACTTTGGCAGAAGCTCCCTCGAACCCTCTACCCTGCCACAAAACTGCCAAACCCAGGATTGGCGAGCTCACCCCATAGCTGTCGCTGTTGGGAAAGAATCATAATTACCCCAAACCTTCAAAAGACCCACTCAGACTTGGTTCGTTTTGGAAGGACCCAGGTTTGCCCTCCAAAAAGGGTGGCCTTTTTGTTAGCGAGAGTGCAATGGGGCTGTTCGTGGACTTTTCCTGGGTTATTACTCACTGCATTCTGCCTGGGTTCCCGAGAAATCAAAACAATTCAAACAAAAGTCGCCATTTGGATAGGTCAGATTAAGGGGCCCGCACAAATTGTGGTTTCCTTTTGGTGTCCCTAACCAATCTTTAACACAAAAGTACCCTGAAAACATACACCCATTTCCAAGAGCCCCTTGCCCCGCCGCTCGTTGTCCAGCCCTTTTCCGGCCATCTTTGGGCGGAGGCCGCGAGGCTGCGCGCACCTGGCATGAGAAATCCGGCCTGGTGAAATCAGTGCAGCAGAAGGCGACAGGTTGGGCTTCTGACTACGGGCTCAACCCCGTGCCCCTGAAGTGGGTCCCCCTGAGATACAGCCCTATGAACCCTTTATCTCAAGAATCTCGTACATATGTTAGTACCCCCTGTTTAAAGGGAAATTGTGGTTGGGGCACGCCCCCAGCGGCATGTAGTTATTGCCCTTGGTGACCCTTCGGGGGCATGCCCCAAACCTGGCGAACAGATTGGCTGTCCGAAACCGCTATCAAAATCTACTGGAAGCCAACTGTCACGTAATGAGATTGGATTTGGGAGAGAAATGTCCATTTTCTTGCAATTTGGTAAGTGTACCCAATGGAATTCACTTCTCATGTGGCTGGAAGTCAAAGCCTGGGTGTTACTGGGTCCACGGTTGGCTGCCTGTTGGTGTCACTTAACAATCCCAAAAAATGGGGGACACACCCGTATCACAGAAGTACCCTTGACAAAAAAAGAGAATTACGTGCTGGAAAGCTGTTGTCGAGCCGTGGTAGGACCCTTGAAACTGATCTCTGTATCGAGGATGGCGCGGGCAAGTATGGCACATCTCAGTTTGGGTGAACTTACGAATCTCTCAAACGTCCACTTTGAATGTTGTTCAAAATGGCAGTCCAAAAAACAACTCTCCAAATGGTGTTCAACATGACATTCACCTCCCAAAACAAATAGTGAACCCCCGCAAAAACACAACAGAGAGAGACAGAGAGAGAGAGAGAGAGAGAGAGCGAACCTGTCAACATGTGTATTCTCTTTTTCCGTGTTTCGCCCTTAAGGGCCCCGATTCGACTCTAGTGCCCTTTGCTGTTTGCAGGCGGGGAATCCTTTTTGGCCGAATGCCACAGGTCAAACTAGGACACCAAAAGAGGCAGCTGATGGCCAGTGGCAACTGACAAAACGCTCCTTTTCAAGCAATGCTGGCACCTGGGACCCGTTGATTTTTGGCTAAACACGGCCCAACGACCGCTTGGGCGGGTTGCAAGACCAACAGGTCCTGTATCGCCAAGGCGCTTCAGCGCGATGAAATGCCGGCAACAAACTGCACAGGCAATGCCGGTATCCGTCACTGCGTTTTGGTTAGCACAACAGGAAATCCGCTGCTCTCACATGTTAAGGACACAAAACACAGCCGGTAGGTTAAAAGAGTCGATGCACTTCGGTTGCAAGTGCGTTCTCCGAGAGCCAGGGTTGCTCCCAAACCCTGACTGTGGGACAGAAGCTTAAGCCCTGCTGAAGGGAAGTGAAATTGTCTGCCCTCGCGGCTTGGGCATTGTTTCGACGCGCGGAGCAACCCTGAGAGTCTGAGAGTGCGGAATGGGAATCTCCGGCTCAGCTAGCTGATCGCTGCATGCTGCTTGATGAAGTTGTAGCAGTCCTCTTCGAAGCGCTTGCTATGCCTCGGCGACATCACCCCATCTCTACTTGGGGAGGGGAGCAAAAAGCGTCAGGTTACACTCCTGCAAATGAACAGGGAACCCAGGAAACCATCAAACGGTATGACGCCCCCATTAAAACCCAATGGAGCGCGAGTGACCAAAATGAAGAAATTTGCCAACAAGAAGTTAGCCAGGCGACCGATCGTCATGGGAGAAGAAGTGGTCTGCTCCCTCGTAGACGATCAGCTGCCCCTTCTGAGACTTTTCCACCCACAGGTGCTCGGAATCTCGGTGATCCTGCGGGCGTGCTGGCTCCAGGCTCTAGGCTTGTTGTCCCAAACTTAACAAAGCAAATTGAGGGCGGCTTCCCATGAACAAGGCACTATGATGAGATTATGTGGACTCATGTCCGTGTATATATATATATATATTTATATGTATACATGTGCACAATTGTTTGAGCAACCACCCCAAGTCTTTGCAGTTTCAGGCCCTTGTGAGCCTGGAGCAGATCCCCACAATGTCCTCTAGACCATCGATGGTGATTTCTCCGACTCATTTCTGAGTCTATTGGCCAAACCTTGGCCCCCTTTGTCTGGTTGTCTGACTTCGATCCTTCCATCACGGGTGTTAGTGACTAGGTCATATCCTATACCTGAAAAATACGATATCTGCAAATTGAAAGAAGTAATTGGAGTCTATCTTCCCTAAGGGAGGTGTCTCCGTGTCGAATCCGGGGTCTGGACAAATTGGAAACTTACCCATCCTCTGTTAGTTTCTTTTTGTGAAGCCAAAATTATGGGCCATGCAGCAATCCCATCTTACTGGTTGCCTTTTCTTGCCAAGGGGAGGTTGTAATCCTGGACACCAAACCCCTGTTCGAGCCCCTTGTTTAAGGGCCCGTTTGGTGTTTTTTGGGTGGGGGTTGCAACAAATCCCAACCTGCAATGTTCGGTTCTTTGTTGTGTGGTGCTGGTTGCTTGGTGGTGCTCCAGCCAAGGGGAGGTTCCTCTATACTCCGGATTGTACAAATGAAGGTTGTGGGTTCCAAGTGCAAAACGGCAACCTGCCGTCTTCCAGGGTTCCGCAAAAGTCGGGCTCATCGATTCTCGGCCTTGCTGCCGTTGACAAAGAGGATGGGCCCAGGGAACTTGCCTCAAATCCGAGACCGTCCGTGTCCCCCGAAAAAGATTCGCCACAGCAAATCGAGCACCTTTGCCAAAGCGGATGCTGGAGAATGGTCCTGTGTTGCCTTAAGAAACGACCTGTTTAACAAAAGCATTCACCATTTGCCTGGTCGAATAAAACACCCAACAGCATTTCTGCAAGATCTAAGAGCAACGACCATCCATGCCAACACTTTCCCACCCTTGCGGCCCTTCCTTCCGTCATGTGTGGCCTTGGGGGAACAAAGCAAAGGGTCACATTGGCGAAACCATGGTTTACCGTCTTTGCAACAATCATCTGCGATTTAGACAATAGTTCCGAAACCTGAAATAGGTCATCCATCTCAAGTGAAGGACCTTCAAGATGGCGAGCTTGTTTCGCCCCCAAGTGAGCTCGACGTGGGTAGTCGCCCAACATTCGTCGTAGGGCATCCATCTTCACGCGTGTCTCTCTCCGATATTTGGCCTAGTTGGCCTTAGTTTACCCAAGGCGTTTAGATATCTTACCAAACCCTCGGAAGTTTTCGGACATTTCAGGAAGTTGGGTTTTTGACCAAAACCTTGAAAGCCCTGACAAAATACATCAGCCCAGTTTTTCAGGAACCCTGGCCAAAAAAAGGAAAAGAAAAAAGAAACCCTCTTCGGGGTCGACCATCTACAATGGGGAATCCACCGCACATGAGAAACGGAAAAAGGGTGCCACCTAGAAGACAATTTTCGTGCAAAGGAGCCCTCTATCCATGATAGGTGGTGGGAGGATGCCATCAAAACCAACCTCTAACGATCCACCAAACGGCACCCCCTTTCTGCGCCCTCTGCATGCTTCAAGGAAGCTAAGCAAAGATTTCCAACATAAAACCCAATGAACCCTCCTGGGGGGAAAATTGGTCTCTGGCAAACGGAAGCCACAGGAAACAAAGCCACTTAGGATTGGGCTACTATAAGGGCTTTCGGGCTTTCTAATCAAACATATCTTTCGGAGTATTATAGAACCAGCTTAAGGCATGATCATAGCAGAATAATGCTAGTACTGTACTTAGCTCATCATATGATCTGCACCATCTACTGCAATTCGCTAATTATCAAGGAAAAACAATTGTACTCTGGGACCCGGGCTTGCTTCACACCCGAATCGGCGAGCTTGCAATAGCTATAGACTAGTGTAAATATCTCAAAAGGGGAACTACTTTACAAAAGCGGAACTACCGTTCCAAAGAGGCTCCTCCTATCCCTGGGAATCTTCCTCCAGAATTCAGAGTTGCGTCGCAACGTGATATATACATGGAGTCACTGGATAGTGTTCTCCATGTTTCTTCTCAATCCACAACACCCCGCGCTCTGTTCACTTCTGTCTTATCAGCACCTCTTACGTTTGCAGTTCCTATCCTGCACTCAGACCTCCAGTGGCCACGGAGAAAAAGGAACCCCGTTTTCGTGGTAGTTGAATTCAACAGACAAACGCCTCCAAAAAGAAAGTGGACAAGGGAAAACGCACCACTGGAGGCATGGGTCATTGCAGAACCTTGCCAAAAATAAGCTGGAAAACCAAAATGGCAAGGCAGCATGAGATTGCAACTGTTGATCCTTCCAAAGAGGTGGAGTACAAGGAGGTCTGGGTTCAGTTACCATCCCTTCCACCCTGATTTTGTTCAAAGTGGGATTCCCATCTCCGTGACTACTTTGTTACTCCTTGCTACAACAGAAATCGGTTCCAAAACTCCAGTTTCAGCCATGCGGAGGAAGTCGCCCAGCGCCGCTGACGGGTCGGATGCCTTCAAGATCTGCACCTGCGCAGTTCGCCCAAAGAACAACGAAAGGCTGAGTCGGTTTGGGTGCCAAACAAATGCAGCCTAAAACATGCGCGGAACCCCACCACCCCATGAGAAACAAACATGCAAGAACAGGGAAGCGCCTTTGTCCCCTGCGAAAACATGGGCCAGTTGAGTAGCCGCCTGGTCTTTTCGGAACTGTTCGGCCCTCTTTTCGTCCTCCCCCAAACAAGCAATTGATTCCCAACAGGCATTGTCAAAACTTTTTCGGGGACATAGTCATTGTTTCCTTACAAGGAACTCTGCAATGGTTGTGTAGAACCCGTTTTCAAGCTGAGGCTACCAACCCCAATTGAAGGGCGGCAAAAAATGGCAAACATTGCACAAAAGAACATCTTTGTCAGGTCCCCAAACTAAGGTTTTCTGTGCCCACGCAATGGTTTGCGCGCGCGCGCCCCCCTGCCGTTGTTTTTGTAGGTTCACCTGCTCCTTGTAGTTGGGGAAGGGATGTTTGAAACCATCCTTGAGGGGAGGGAAATATTGAACATGTTGGAGAGGGCTGTGAACAAGCCGCCCTCATGGAAAATATCCATGACACTAAGAAAATGCAGTGTCAAACGCATGAGGTTTGGGTTTGGACCCCAGTAAACATGCAATACGAGTCCTTGATTCCCCTCTTGAGCTCCAAGGCAACTTGCCCACAACCCTCCCAAGTTCATTGTTTAGTCCTTTGAGGCTCCCTTTGCAGGGGCCCATGGTCTATGATTTTAAACCATTTTTTGCAAGCAACCCTGCCCACAACCGCCCTTTTACGGGCCTGCGCCATTGCTTGGCCGAAGAACATGCCAGGCCGAAATGAGCATTCCATCATGGCTTCTTCAGGCAAGTGCCCGTTCCTCGGCGCTTGGATGCTGGATTTCCCAGAAAAGCTTGAAACGAAACAAGTAGTCCAGGTGGTATCCTCAACAGAACTCTGCTGGAACCTTGGCCCGGAGCAGCTCAACCGTAGACCTATGGTGGAAAGGACAATTGAAGGAAAACAAAAAAAGCCAAAGGTCAAACGGGAAGCAAGATCTTGGCAATGGGAGTTCTATTTGAAAGGACGGGGCATCTGAGTTTCCACTGTAGAGAAGTCTTGCTTCTGGAAGATCAGTGCAGATCTCTTGGTTTTCTGGGTCAACACACACTCTTCAGGACGGACATCCTCTCAATTTATGCGTTGGTGCCAGCTTGCAAAATAGGGGAGGGGGGGGAAATCCAGCTACCCATTTCGTTGGGGCGTTGCGGAGTTTACAAATTATTATGTTTATTCTAGCAGTACTGTCCCCATTTTGTTCAGGGATCCTTCTTTTTAGAAAATGGGCAGCAAAACTCCATACAACAATGGGTGGTTTTTGCACAACAGCAATGTGAACAGCATGAAAAAGGAATCAACCCTTTGGATTGGAAACAAATGGCGGGCGGCTAGGTGGCAGGGTCTCGTGCAATACAAACCAACCACGCCAAGTCTCTTCCGGATCTCTCCGATGAGGGCACTCATGATTTTCCTGCTGCCTCATGTGCCATGGTACAAACTCATCCCGACTCATATCCATCCAAGGGGTCCATGACCGCCCCTTCCAACCCCAAGTATAGGGGTGTTTCGACCATGCTCTCATGCTGTGGCAGCCGGCGAATTGGAGGAGCGAGCCTTTTCCTTTAAATTGTTCGTGGCACCGTGTGAAGGGAGTCGCCTTTTCTTCTGACCTACGCAGTTAGCTGGCAAAAGGTTAAGCTTGTTGGATCTTTACCAAACTGAAAAAGAACTGAACAAGAAGCCTTCCTAACGAAAAGTGTGCCACTGAATGGGTAACTTCTTGACATCTACCCGCCTACAAACATATGTCGCACCTGATGAAGGGAGGCGCCTGGAAGACCATTTTCGACATCGGCCGTAACACCCAATTGTTGAATATTGTTGACAACTATGCCGTTGCTCAGCTTGCCCCAAACAAAAGAGGCTTGTGACTTCCGATTTGGTCAAAGAATTGTGGGTTCAACTCCCCAATTGATCCTTTTCAGGGTAATCTGAGCTGCTCCCTCTCCCCCAAACTCAACCAACAATGACTTGAGCTTCTTCCCCGCAAGTGTTTAAAGTCCGCATTGGCTAAGAGTTGCTGTTGGTCCTTCTGCCATATCCCCTCGGCTCAAAGGCCACAAACGGAGACAAGGATTCCGCAAGGGAGCTTCGTCGTTTCTGAGCTAGCCCAGACACATACTGTTGCTGCTTGCTCCCTTTTGAGTCACTGTCAACACCCGACATTAAAGGGGCCTACCCAACCTCATGTACACAATCAAAAAGGCGGATATCCGCATCAACTGGCCGGCACTGTCCCGAGCCTTCATCTGCCTGGGTTTTGATTGCGGTTCTCATTTACCCGCAAAGCGAAATGTATCAGAAAGGGTCGCGCACCCTGTATTAGCTGAGTTGTTGAGTTGACTGGCCAAAAAGTGGCTTTGACTCTTTGGCCCATTGGCACAACTGAAAGAATCGCCACAATTGGTAAAGCTTGCGAATCCAACAGGTATGGGCGCAACGTGTTCCCCCTTTCCATGCACTGCGGGATTTGGCAATTTCGGCACTCGCCCATTTCAAAGGTGCCCAGCCGTGGCAGGATCGTCTCAAAGGCCCACAGCCCCATGGAAGCAGCAGCGCCGCGGCCAACGCCCACGTTCTGCCCGCACCTTGGTGACTCGACAAACGGCAAGTCGAATTGCAAACGGGTGCAACCCTTCAAGCAGAGTTTGCATTGGGGGAAGCGGGCGATATTGTTGACTTCGGATTAACCCGAGGACCGTTATAATATACTCCGTGTGCATGTTCGGTGGTACAAAGGACATTTCACGACCATTTCCCCTGGAAACCAACAGCTTGGAAAACAAACAAACACACACAGAGAGAGAGAGAGAGATTCAACACGCGGATGGAAGTGGATGTTGATATTATGTCGTTGAATCGACAATAAGGGATCCATTCCCTTTGTGCGGTTCAGGTCGGTGAGCTTTGCAGATCCAAGCCACATGGTGATGATGGCCATGGACACCAGATCCGGAAACTTCCCAAGCAGCTCCATTCCTCACTTGCCGCTCAATTCATGGCGCTTGCAAGTAGAGGGAACCTTAAAACACAAAATAGTATCCAAAGGGATCCCAGCATTTGGAAGCTACCTCCCCCAGCAAACACGGAACGTGAATTTTGCTCCTATTCTGGAAAACTGGCTCTTTCTACTGTGTCCAGCGGTTCCAGCCCATTTGGCTATGTTTCGAGATTTGGCAACCTCTTTTTCGATGGTTCGGGCGCGGTGGGGCAAACAAGAACCTAAAAGCGATGTCTTTTAAACCCCTTGGGGGTGATCGCATGCCCTTTAGGTTCTCGTTCAACGGGGGTCAACCCAAGGGTCCAAACAATGGTTCAAAAGAGGTATCCGCCTTCCGAAATGGGGTGTTTGGCCCAAGGCCCGTATTTTATTTTCGATGCGCGGCCGACGTAGCCACCCAGGGACCCGCCGATGTAGATCGGCTTCGTGCCAGATGCAGAGGGTGGCGCATATTCGCGGATGACCTGGACATGCAATAAACCCAAACAGGACTCCGACCGTCGAGGCTTGAGTTGATCTTCTGTGGCACTTTTTTCGGGTCTTGCTATACTCAGAACCTCCTCCAATTAATTAGCTGGGTTTTGGCAAAGGTAGGAAAAGGGGCGCCGTAGTGTAGAACGCCACTTTGCAAATCCAATAGTTCAGAACGTGACACCCCCAAAGGTTGGTTGACTACACTGTTAGTCCGGATGAATTACAAGAGTGATGGCGTCAACTTGGGATAGGGGTGGACACCTACATGATGCGTCGGATTGGGATCATCCTCCAGACAAATCAAAAGTTCACTACACTAGCACGAAACATTTACCCTACAGAGTACTCTTGGAAGACCAGTGTCTTTTGAAGAAGGTAGCCTGTGCACTTCCATACTTGTCAGAGGGTCAAACCGAAAAACAAGCACATTTCCCGGACTCAAAGAAAGACCCTCTTCCCAGTGATTCCATTTGCCACGCGTTTGCAGGGGACCAAGGGAACTATACTAAACCTACATTTGAAACCAAAAGAAAACTTGCGGATGTTCAATAGTGGCTTGCCAGGGATCTAAAAGGCTTGGTTTCGTCTGCCTTTTGCTTTCACTGGTTTCCCATTCTCCAAATCGAGACAAAACATGTCTCGTGTTTTGCGGACGCTCGCCGTATACCCCTTCCGCAGGGTTGAACTGATCTGTCTTACGGCTACAGTACGTCAAAGTGGTTGACGGCATTGTTGTTGCCGGGCAAAATTGTTAATTTGCTTGTTGTGTTGGCTGGTTCGAAGGGAAAATTGATGCAGCCCAATAAGGCAAAAAGGCAAAAGTTCTGCCCAACCGGACCAAAAACGGATCCGAGTATGCAAACCCCCATTCGGAATGCATTGATGGATGCACCCAGGACATTGAAAGAGTGCTCAAGTTGTGCTGCAAAAGCATAGACATAGCAAACTGGAAAAGCGGCATTGACTCAGATCAGAGATACGGTTGATTCTATGAAAAGTGCAAGTGAATCAATCCACATCAAACCACAACACCCTTTCTGGCAGCTTCAGGGGTTGTCCATGCTGCCCTACTTGCAATATCCTTTTCATCTTTGTTTAAGGTCCCCTTTTCGGGTGCCTTTTTCTACAGAGAACCTGATTTGTGGGAGGGAACTGTCCGAACGCTCATTTCCTCTTCGTCTTTGCTGGGGAATGCCTTGCAACAAGGAAACTGCATACCTATATATCTGTCCAAATAGGTGGACCACAACAAATGGCTTTGGTTTTTTATCTTTTGATTTCCCGTTCAACCTACAGCAACCGAAACCAACCCAAAAATGGGTACCGGTACCCTCAACCAAACGCACCCTTTTTGGTTGCCCGTCCCCCACGTGCCCTGTCTGATCTGTCCATCCCATGCGTTTGGCTGGCCTGGACGATGGCCTGGAGGGCCGAGTTCATGGTCAGCTCTTCGTCCATGCGCGCGCCGTGGCCCGGCAGATCCATGAGCACACACCTGGCGCGCGAAGTCGCGAGGGCAAGCCATGTGCCCTCGCAGGCAGACTGCATGAATGCAAAGCGAGGCTATATGGTTGGAGCCCTGGCGTATGTAATGCTTCTGTAATTTGGAGCATGAAATAGACCAAACCCTAGGAACATCTTCCAGGACATCTGAAAAAACTGAAGCCACCGGCTCATCTCTCAGCGCTCGCGCCAAGCCTGAAGTTCTTCGCTGCCATGGCGCGGGCGTGGGGTTTGAACATCTCGCGGCTTCCACCGCCCCCGTGCACGTAGACCAAGGTGATGGCCCCACCGCCGCCAACTGCCTCGAAGACGTCCACGTGTTTGGAGAAGTCGAGCCTTTCAAGCAAATGTGGGTCTAAAAGAAAGCCGTTAAGAAGTGAGGGGTACGTGTGAGCGCATGCAAGAATAAAATCGACAAATGAACAACGAATGAATAATAATAATAATATAAAAAAATGATTGCATACATATGTGTAAACAGACATGAACACACATTATCAAATTGTACGCATGCGCAGGCACATTCAACTACTCGGAAAGCATCAAATGTGTAAGGTGCAGCGTAAGCCTCAAAAGAGAGGAGGTCTAGAGACAGAACTGTTGCAACCGTGCAATTACAAACATGCCAAACACTCATCTTAATGGCGTGATACACATGTGGAGGGTCCTGAAGCAGCGCAGAGTCTTTTTGGTCCGATGATTGAGCCGTGCTTGAAAGGAGTGAAACAAAAGCTTTAAATTTGAAGAGGGCCTTTTCAAGCGCTAAAGCATTTCTGGATTCAAAATTTGAGATTGTCAGGACTCTAGCTTTGAACCTTGAATCTAGCACTGCTCCAGGCCAAAACATTCTCTTCAAAAAAAAACACAAAAATTATCCAAGCGTTGATTGCCACATTCTAAAAAGGAAGAATCCAGCTGGAAACGTCAAAGCGCAAGGGGGGGGGGGGGGTTGATGCCAACCGGGCTTTCAAAGGCCTTTGGCCAAGGTGATACCTGGTGACCAGCCGGATCTTGGGGGGCGTCTGAACATTAGAAAAAGGCCTCCGTTTGGATCAACAAAAGGAAGACTACAAGAAAATAGCTATTTTGAGGGTCTGTGTCAGGAACGACGCACTTGGCAATTAGGTCAAACCGAGCTCCGTGACAACGGCAGATTTCAGTCTGAGGGGTTAAAGAATTAGAACTGCGCAGTTTGCAACCAAATTAAATCATGATTGTAGAGGTAGACGACTAGTAAACAAATCCGCCTCCTATATTGAGGCATGCCCAGTTCTGACACATTTCTTACGGCAAATCTGCAAATCCTGCGAGGCGTCCTGCAAGCTTCAAACAGCTTCCGGGTACCTATCGGCTTTCGGGGGGGCTGGGAGGTCCAGGAGTGTCCAGGCAACGAGGACAGCTTCTGGAAGCAGCCCTTGCAGAAGGCCACGATGTCCTGCGGGCGTCAGCATTGCTCGCCATAGGCAGAACTCATGCGACTCCCCCAAACCTGTCACGAACCGTCCGCCTGGTCTCGCACTTCGCCCTGGCAGCTCTGCTGGGCGGCCTCCGTCACCACTGGGTGACTTAAGCAGCCGGAGCCTAGGTCCGAATTCGCCCTCCAGGGCCCATTCGACAATATATGCATTATAATTATATATATATAAGTAGATCTTCATGTGCAAAAAACAACCATTTGTAAAAACGCTTAAATTTGCCCCGGCATGGCGCCGTGAAGAGTTGAATGCAGTCAAACCATGGTGCGTGGTTTCAAACAAGTTGTTTGTTGATGCGTCTGGAGCTTCACAGCAGCGCCTGAATTTTTCCTCGACTTTCCCAGCGCAAGTGTGCCGGTATATTCGCCAACCCCTGCCTCCAAAAGGAACAAACGCGCACGGTGCTTAGAAAAAACGTGTGCACCCATGCAAG